CTGTTGTGATGCTGTTGTAGGTTTCATATACCTCTTTATTTATTAATGGACTTGGAACTTCATGTTCGAATTACTTCTATGTTTGAAATACTTAAAAAGGCTTTTCTTATTTCCCTTTGCCATCTGCCAGTATTTTGTTTCTTTTGACCCAATTCACTGTAGCTTTCACTAATAGACTCAACTTATTTTAGGAAGCCACTCACTTACTAAAATTCGGAGCCTTTGGTGCTTTACTTTGTGGTTTTGCAAGCTTTTAGAACTCTATCAAAATCATAAACAGCATATGATAGATCCAAGGCAAGAATAAATAAAATGTCAAGTTTCAAAAAATTTGTAACACAAATAGATTATATTAATTGAATAAAATAGACTATTGTGTTTGTTACCAGATCAGCAAATTATTTTTAATATTTTAGTGTATTCTCTTTTGGCTTTCAGTTAATTTTCTTATATAGATGAATTGGTGGTGCCTACGTACCTTAATAATTAGACTTAAACGTATATGTTCTTAAAAATGTCTTATATGTTCATTTTACTTATCAATATATGATGACTATTTTTTATTTAATACAAATGTTTTCATTAGGATGCAAACTACCTGGACACAATGTTCTTCCTTATCTCAAAGGTTTTCCCTTTTGCTATTAGCTGAATGTCTTCCTAAGCTTGCACTTTCTCTATTCTGATGTTACATGCAAAATTCTTACTCTTTGACGCTCAGATCTGATACCATTTTTACCCAAGAATTATTCTAATATAATCCAACTGCAATATATCTCCATTTATGTGCTCCCATGACATTTATTTCCTCAATTTTTATCCACTAAAATTTTTATATATTGTACTAAAATTTTTATATATAGTCTATTTGTGGTCTGATTGTATAGAATTTCTTATGCCATGGTTTATCGATATTTGTAGTTATCAGACCAACTAGTACAATGTCTAGAATATAGTGAATAATCAATTCTAAACCATATTGAGTTTTGCAAAGGATTCCAAACAAAATTTTGAAACTCCTGCATATTAAAAATGTCTACTATTTTAGAGTTATCCAAAATAATTAATGGCTATAATCTATTATTTTTAAGGTGTTAGAGTTCATAGATATATTTTAGGAAATATTGACTCTTTACTGCATATTTTGTAATATGAAAAAATGCATAATTAATCTTCCCAAAGCACACAGTTACAGATAATGTCATTGAAGTTGCTAGAGTCATTTTGGGGAAGAAGAAAAAGTGACAACCATCTGGAAAAATTAGACTACAGTGGTTGCGTTCTGTAAGGTGGCCTCATTTGGTGTCAAATTAGAGCACTCATCTGTTAGACATCAAGACTGTTTTCACCCAAATGTGTGACATCACGGGCATATGTAGTTTAATCACGTTGTCAGTCAAATAGCTCATTAATAGGAAGAGAACTATTGGGCTTATGTATAATGAAATGTGACACTGACAGCCAAGCTACTTCTCAAACAACTTATTCATATCTGCTTCTTAAATTTGCTATAAGAAGGAAAATCCCAAGTTCAGTGACTCAAAAAAATTCTTCTCCCATTCCTTGGACCCATTGTTGCTATTTCCATTGCACATTTGTAGTTCTGATTATGTATTTGTAATAATGCTCCTTATACAGAAATTCAACATTGCGAATCCATCATTTTCAGTTGCTGTATTTCCACTCTTTTAAGAAGGCAGAGGGAGAAATGGAGGAAAAGACGGAGAAGGGAACATAAGAGGATTTGGAGATCAGTCCCAACTCTGTCAACTTAAAGCTTCCACAAAGGAAAAAAATGACATTCATCGATGACAAAGAAAATGTCTGGCAACTGCTTTAAACACCTTATCTAATTTATTTTTTCAAAAGTTTACAGTGTATATATTTTCACCATTTGATAGACAAAAAAGAGGATCTAAAATGATTAATAAATTGCTCAATATTTCAAACATGAACATGGTGAGGAGACAACTCAAAGAAAACTCTCTAGAGGTTTTGCTATTTCTGCTCTATGGTCTTGTTTCTAAACTGTTGAAGAATTATGTCCACGCTGAACCAAACTCCCTATTTCTTAAAGTACATCATGGAAAGCTAGAAAGGGAAAGGGAAAGACTCAAGACAAGTAGTCTGGGCAAAAATGAGAAAAAGCCATTGCAAGGTGTTACATTACTGGTGTAATATCCTAACTGACATTTTAGAAACAGTACTTGACTCAGTTGTACCTATTCTTCCAGATTTGACCAATAAAAAGTGCTCTGACTGTGCATGTAATACATATTCCCATGCAAGTACAAGAGAATGAGAATAAACATGAATTACTTTTAATTATTATTTTATTGAGGATGGTGACATAAGGAAGATGAGTATTTTGGTTTAAATTGTGATGGGATGCCACTTTTAAAATGTAGTTTAATAAACATGCAACTTGTTAAAAGATATTGTTCGAACCTATATGCTTAATTCTGTTCATTCATAAATTCCCTTAAAATAAATGTACTAGAAAGTGAAAATAAATCTGTCCTCTCTATTCAAAATGGAAGGTGAGAATGGATATCATCAATAGACGGGTGGTAATGCAGATAGGATTGTACTGAAGGAAGTACTGAAAAGCTGATAATGTGAAACGTAAAAGAAATCCTGCATGAAAGTATGTGAACACAATATCTCAGGAGAAACACAAAACAAAACAAAAACAGAAACAAAAGCAAACAAACATAAAGTGGTAAAACAACCAAGTTCAGAACAGAAGGTGCCAGTTCAAACTGTGAAGCTTCAAAAGGAAGAATTGTGTGAGGTATTTGGCCAGCGTGTTAGCCCAAATTTAGTTCAAGTATAGATGGCTGTGCAAAAGGAAGGCACTGCGGCACAGAGTTCTCTGTGAGACCTGTGAAAGTGAGATAGGCCCTAAAAGAATCAGCTTTCTACAATTAACATGGAAAACAACCACTCCTGAATCAGTGAAGTCCTCTGCAACTGGCTGGCTGGTCTCCTACTTTTTCCCTGCCTCCCAAGCAACAGAATGCCAATACAGAAAAATAAAATAGATAAGTGTAAATATCTTCCTTTCCTTTCCTAATAATTTATACTAAAACACAGGAATAGAAAGCCACATCAATCTAGAAAGCAATTTATAAATTCATAAATTTTCATGTCCCGCTAGTCTAAAAGGAGGACACTATTTTGAAAATTCTGTAATAGTTACCTCCAATAAAGTAGGCTTACTCCAAGTAACAGGAGGAACCCTAAACATGTCTTAATGTATTATGTAAGACAATCAAGAGAATGTTGTAATTGAAAGTGGATATTTGACATCAAAATAAAATTTTTACACATATAGAATGATTTTATGTCATGAAAACCATACACAGCAGGAGCTCAAACAAATTTTAAATCAACTAAAGAAATTCCAAAAACATTTTTATGGGTAAAAAATAAATGTAATGAATGTAATCTGAGGAATGTGAAAATCGGAGATACCAGTAACCCCTGAAGAAGAGAACGGAGCCTGCTGAAAAGTACTAAGTGAAGAATTATGAAAAGAAAAATCCGCAACACTGAAAAACAAAACTCGAGAAAAATGGAATCAAAAGGTGGCCACTTAACAGAGAAATTATTGAAGATATGATACATCCAGAAGATAATGGCAAGATTTTGGGATGTCTATAGAGACTAAATATCTGAAAAGCTATATATCTAACATTAAATAGGTTGACATAAGGTTTCTTATCTTCAATGTAAGATTTTAGAAAGTAGTACTTCAGAAGTTTCTATGACAATACATTTTAACTTTGTTTTATGATATGATTGTGCTGATTTTGCCTGTCACCATATTAAGCTATTTAGATGTCTTATCCAATTTAATTGGCCAATAATCCTTCTTGATTAGTTGATTTTTAAAATCCCCATTATAAAGATGAGAATATAGAGGCTAAAGAAGATAAAGTAGTTTCATGAATTTATACATATAGTATGGGGAAGAGGCAGGATACATATCCAAGCCAGATTAAATTTAGAGCCTGTGGAGCTAACCACTACACACTAATACTTCTCAGGCCCATGAAAAATGCATATCTTAGAAGATAATACATTTAACAATAAAATAATTTATACAATAAAGTACTGTTTAAATCAAAATTTTATAATAAGGTAGATGGAATCCACCAAATCTATAAATCCTGTAAAAATAAAACTTAAAAAAAAACACAAGTAGAGAGACAGAATTCAAATAATAAAATTGTTTTCTATACTATAAGGATAAACTAAAATGAAATGGCATTAATATATAAAGAGCTTACATCTATCTGAAACATTAAAAATATATAAATAATTTTTGTATATAGAATATTCATATATGTGTGTGTGCATATATATGAATTCCTGGCTTAAATAATAAAAAACCTACATATGCAAATATAAAAGTTTTTTTAGATTCAGTTCCTGAGCATTTGTGTATGGTTTGGGAGAATAGGCTTGCTCATATGTTTATTGGAATTGTAAGTAGGTTTGATCTTTCTGAAGAAAAATTTGGCAATGAGCAAAGTAATGCCCCAAATAGATCCAAATACACATGGGGTTTTAGTTTAAGGTGGTTCAAAAATAGTTTCCTATAGATATAGAAATTCAGTAGAAAATGAAAGTAACATTTTCAAATCAGTAGAGAAAAGAGAGATAATTCAATAACCATTGCTGGGGAATAGATTAATAAATCAGGATTTCTGTCTTACTGCTCAGAAATGTCTTCACTTCTCAATCATGATAAATAATTCACCAATGCTACTTATGAGCACTCTTATTTTTGAGCACTCTTATGATTCCCTTTTAAAAATTAATAATGATTCATGTGAAAGCAAACATATAATATTTCAGTTGTTAATAAGTTGTAATACAAACAATAAAAAAAAGCACAACAAGGCAAAGAAAGTGTATTGTTGGGAGAGGTGCTTTGCATAGGACAATGAAAGACTGCTGTTTGAAAAGACTGGAGGGAGGGCGGGAGGTACCTGATGTCTGACAGGAGCTTTCCAGGCAGAAGATCCTGAAGGCAGAAGAAGATACATGTCAAGAGTGTGGCACAAGGAGGCCTGCTAATGGGAGATGAAGGGGACATGAAGGCAGGATAGCCAGGATGAGATGACTCAATGCCCAAGTAAGGATGTTAGCTTTGGCTAAGAATGAGACTTTTTGTGCAGAGGAATATTATTTGGCATATGCTTTAAAAGTGTCATAATAGCAACTCTGTTTGGAATAGACAAGTTAGAGGATGTCACAATAGCCCAGATGAGACATGACAATGGTAGGTCATGAAAAAAGGTTTGATTCTGTATATATTTTGAAAGTGGGGCTAACAGAACTGGTTGATGGATTAATTGTGGAGTATGTATAAAAGGGAGTGAATTAACTCATTTTCACACTGCCATAAAGAACTACTTGGGGTTGGGTAATTTATAATGAAAAGAGGTTTAATTGACTCAGAACTGACAGGCTTGGGAGGCCTCAGGAAACTTATAATCATGGCGGAAGGGGAAGCAAACATGTCCTTCTTCACAAGGTTGCAAAACAGAAACACGTGCAGAGTGAAGGAGAAAGAGTCCCTTATAAAAACCTCAGATCTTGTGAGAACTCACTATCACAAGAACAGTATAGGGGAACCGCCCCCATGATCCAATCACCTCCAACAAGGTTCCTCACTCAACATGTGGGGATTATAACTCAGATAACTCAGGTGAGTCACAGAGCCAGACCATAAGTTTGACTCTTGACAAGAAAGATCTAATATCATTAATCTTAATTTGCAAAGAGGAGCACACCACACAAATACATACACACACACCCCTCACAATACTAAAAGTGATTTACTGTAAACAACTGTCTACACATACCCAATAAACACAAAAATGATGCTCAGCATTTATGTCTCAAGGAAACATAAGAATGTAACAAATAATAAATTATTTGATGATACCCATGGCTGGCAAGGCTGTGCAGAAACAAACATTCTCACACATTGTTGATCAACGGTTTATTGTAAAACACTTTTGTAAGAATATTAGATAACTATTCTCATATTTAATACATGTTTACTATTTGACCTGATAATCTCAAGACTAGAAATTGTTGCTAAAAAAATCACAATTGGCAAGGATATAGGTTATTAATAAATTTCTTGGAGTATAATTGACAATGTTCTCTAAAACATTTACACTCAGTCTTTTTTATTTTTTAAAATTTATTTATTTTTTAGGTTTTGGGGTACATGTGCAGGATGTGCAGATTTGTTACTTAGGTAAACAGGTGCCATTGTAGTTTGCTGCACCTATTAATCCATCACCTAGGTATTAAGCCCCACATGCATCAGCTGTTTTCCCTTATGCTCTCCCACTCTGCCCTCCCCTGACAGGCCCCAGGAAGTGCTGTTCCCCTCCCTGTGTCCATATATTCTCATTGTTCAGCTCCCACTTATAAGACAGAACATGCAGTGTTTGGTTTTCTGTTCCTGCATTAGTTTGTTGAGAATCATGGCTTCCAGCTTCATCCATGTCCCTGCAAAGGACATGATCTCATTCCTTTTTATGGCTGCATAGTATGCCATGGTGTATATGTACCACATTTTCTTTGTCCAGTCTATCATTGATGGGCATTTGGGTTGATTCCATGTCTTTGCTATTGTGAATAGTACTACAATGAACATACATGTACATGTATCTTTATGATAGAAAGATTTATATTCCTTTGGGCATATACCCAGTAATGGGATTGCTGGGTCAAATGGTTTTTTTGGTTCTACATCTTTGAGGAATTGCCACACCATGCCCATTCAGTATGATATTGACTGTAGGTTTGTCATAAATGGCCCTTATGTTTTGAGGTATGTTCCTTCAATACCTATTTTATTGAGAGTTTTTAAACATGAAGAGATGTTGACTTTTACACTCTTACATTCTCCTTGGCACAGACAAGACTCAGGGGTGCTCTAAGTTGTGAGCTTATTCAGACATGAACTTGTATCTTGATTATAACATTTTGAGGCTGTTTGAAACTTAGCAAAATGCTTACATTTCTCTATCTACATTTATTTAGTAGTAGCCTTATAAGATTACTGTTGAATTAAATAAAATCATGAATATAAAGTATGACTGGTATACTATCTGACACAATGCTATTATTCAATACATGGTAGCTATTATTGCAGTACCTGGGGTGGCCTGAAGCATGATAATATGGTTTGGCTGTGTGTCCCACCCAAATCTCATTGTAATTGTAATTTCCATTGTTGACAGAGGAGCCTGATGGGAGGTGATTGAATCATGAGGGTAAATTTCTCCTTACTATTCTCATGATAGTGAGTGAGTTCTCATGAGACTTAGTAATTTAAAAGTATGTAGCACTTCCCCACCCCTTTTTTTCTACTCTGGCCATGAAGGATGTGTCAGCTTCCTCTTTACCTTCCACCATGATTGCAAGTTTCCTGAGGACTTCCCAGTCATGCTTACTGTACAGCCTGCAGAACCATAAACCAATTAAAACTTTTGTTTATAAATTATGCAATATCAGGTATTTCTTTATACCAATGCAAGAGCAGACTAATACAGAAAATTGGTACCAAGAAGTGGGGCATTGCTATGAAGATACCTGAAACTATGGAAGTGGCTTTGGAATTGGGTAACAGGCAGAGGTTGGAACAGTTTGGAGGGCTCAGAAGAGGACAGGAAGATGTGGGAAAGTTTGGAACTTCCTAGGAAATTGTTAAATTGTTGAGACCAAAATACTGATAGTGATATGGACAACAAAATCCAGGCTGAGGTGGTGTCAGATGGAGATGAGGAATTTATTTGGAACTGGAGTAAAGGTCACTCTTGCTATGCTTTAGCAAAGAGACTGGCAGCATTTTGTCCCTGCTCTAGGGATCTGTGAAACTTTGTACTTGAGAGTGATGATTTAGGGTATCTGGTTGAAAAAAAATTCTGAAGAGGAAAGTGTTCAAGATGTGGCCTAGCTGCTTCTAACACCACATGGCCATATGTGTGAGCAAAGAGATGATCTGAAAATGGAACTTATATTTAAAAGAAAAGTGAACATAAAAGTTTAGAAAATTTGCAACCTGACCATGTGGTAGAAAAGAAAAACCTATTTTCTTGGGAGGAATTCGAGCCAGCTGCAAAAATTTACATAAGTAACAAGGATTCAAATGTTAATAGCCAAGATAATGGGAGAATGCCTAGAAGGCATTTCAAAGACATTCAGGGCAACCCCTCCCATCACAAGACTGGGGGCCTAGGAGGAAAGAATGGTTTTGTGGGCCAGGCCTAGGGCACTGCTATTCTGTGAATCCTTGGGACATGGCACCCTGCATTGCAGCTGTTAAATCTCCAGCCATGGCTAAATGGGCCCAAGGTATACCATGATCTGTTGCTTCAGAGAGTGCAAGCTATAAACTCCTTGGTATTTTCTACATGGTGATAAGCCTGCAGGTGCACAGAGCGCAAAAGTTGAGTCTTGGAAACCTCCATCTAAATTTCAGAGGATGTATAAAGATGCCTGGATGTCCAGGCAGAAGTCTGCTGCAGGGGTGGAGCACTTATGGAGGACCTCTACTAGGGCAGTGCAGAGGGGAAATGTGAGGATCGAACCCTCACACAGAGTCCCTACTGGGGCACTGCCTAGTGGAGCTGTGAGGAGAGGACCACAATCCTCCAGACTCCACAATGGTAGATCCACTGACAGCTTGCACTGTGTGCCTGGAAAAGCTACAAGCACTCAATGCAAGTTCGTGAAAGCAGCTGTGAGGCTGTACCTTGTAGAGGTATAGGGGTGGAGCTGCCCAAGATCTTGGGAGTTAACTCCTTGCAACAGTGTGGCATGAATGTGAGACATAGAGGCAAAGGAGATTATTTTGGAGCTCTGAGATTTAATGATTGCCCTGCTGAGTTTAGGAATTGCATGAGGCCTTTATCCCCCTGTTTTTTTGGCCAATTTTTCCCTTTTGGAATGGGATCATTTGCCCAATGCCTGAACACCCACTGAATCTTGGAAGTAAGTAACTTGTTTTTTTTATTTTATTTTTTTATTTTATAGGCTCCTAGACCGAAGGGACTTGTCTTGTCTCAGATGAGTCTTGGGACTTGGACTTTGAGTTAATGCTGGAATGAGTTAAGACTTTGGGAGATTGTTGGGAAGGCATGATTGTGTTTTGAAATGTGAGAAGGACATGAGATTTGGGAGGAACCAGAGAGGAAATGATATGGTTTGGCTCTGTGGCCCCACCCAAATCTCATGTCAAATTGTAATCCCCAGTGTTGGATTAGGGACCTGGTGGGAGGTGATTGATTCATGCAAGTGGACATCCCCCTTGCTGTTCTCATGATAGTGAGTGAATTCTCATGATATCTGGTTGGTTAAAAGTGTGTACCACTTTCCCCTATCCTCTCTTCCTCCTTCTCTGGCCATTTAAGATGTGTCGGCTTCCCCTCTGCCTTCTGCCATGATTGTAAGTTTTCTGAGGCCTCCCCAGCCATGCTTTCTGTGCAGCCTGTAAAATGGTGGGCCAATTAAACCTCTTTTTTAAAAAAATAAATTACCAGGTCTCAGATAGTTCTTTACAGCAATGTGAGAACAGACTCGTACACCCATGCAGACTCTAGTGTTTATGAATTTCTTCCTTTGAAAATTTTCTCTGCCCTGAGTACTTGAAATTTCTGGAAACTCTAGGTGAATTGTTTTACTTCTACGGAGGAATTCAATAGAATGATCACTTAAAAAGAGTAAAAAATGCATTATAGAACATGACACTTTGTCTCTTCCTTGCTTAAAAGATGAATCCATTTTTCCATGTCTCAAAAATTCTTATTTGTATGTATACAAAAGCACTTGTTCTTTCTGCATAATACATCTTATTACACCAAAGCTACACATTCTAATATTTGTCTGATACTTTTATGTTTCAAATATTCACATTGTGAGTTTAGTACAAAAATGTAAGTTTATATGTGATCTTGAAAATAAGAAGGAAATTACTGTAAGCATCTTCAGCTTAAAAGTTTTATATTTTATCTGAACATAAATTGCACTTCACATGAAATAAGAAGCTGTAATTCTACTCCTTTAGTATTACTCTGAATTTACGCTCAGTCAAATCTTTGTTTAAATTAATCTCCTAAA